TAAACTCGACGGCCACTTTCATGCGCGCCTCGTGATCTTTTATGAAAGCATAATGCGCGCGCGCGCGCGATACCCACGACCATTATGAGAGCGATTCCGCTCCCTTTAGCTCGCCCTCCTCCCCGCTTTTCTCTCGAGGCGCCGCGATACCTCAGTCTCCCGCTCGATTATTCGCATTTCACTCGGCGGAATCGTAAATCGTGAAACCGGCTTAACGAGCGGTGGACAACGGCTCCGGTGAAACGCGCGCTCCGCCGACGTCCGTGGCTCATTCGAACGGGCGGAAGGGGGGGGGGAGGCTATTGTAATTGGCGGACGGAGGGAGGGAAAAAGCCGCGAAAGTCCGCGATGTCCTTAAACGGTACTTGCGGGCGTAATTACTGTTAATCACGCGCAAGTACCGAGGGAGATACACGCGGACGATCGAATCGCTCGTTCGGTCTGAGCATTCGCAAATATTGCGCCATGCGCGAAAGCGCGCACGCGCACGGCGAGATTGCGGTGATAAATCTGCGGTTTACGCTAACGATCGCTACGGTTATTACGGTAATTATAATAGTAAATGTCGTTGCGCAGTTACGGGGTAGTAAATTTACCGTGAAAGCGGAGGTCCTCCCGAAGCCAGCAGGTTCGAAATCGAAGCTCCTTTCGAGGACGAGGTCGCGAAGGTTACCCTGGTAGTTTGAAGTTACTCTTACGATAATAATTATTTTTATTTTTATTGTCCTTAATCCGCGGTGTTTCATCGGACTCCTTTGTGTTGAACACTAATCCTGGGCTTTCTTCTGTGAGCGATTCTAATTATCCTATAATATCCTATACAAGGTATTTCATTTTATTCTTTCTCAGAGCAAACCAACAGAATTTAATTATTTTCTTTTTTAATGAAGTGGACTAATTATTATATAATACATACTATATTACAGTGTTAGGCATAATTAAACCATATCGACAATTAATAATTAACAGTCAGTTAATTGTTAATTGTCCTTACATGATTGCAATCAATTAATTGTAATTACTTTAACATGTTTTACATGATTACAATTAATTGATTGTAATCATGTAAGGACAATTAACAATTAATTGATTGTTCATTGTCCTTACATTACAATTACAATTAATTATTTAATTATTTATCAATTTTAATTGTCAGTACAATTAACAATTGATTTTTATCCTGACGATGATTTAATGTCCGGATAACCAAATCTACATAAACAGATTTCGAGCAAAGCCTGCTATTTTTAAGTACATTTTTAAGTAGTATAAATTTTTAAGTACCAGGAAGGCAACAAATTTGATACATAGGGTGTGTTATATCAAATTATCTTTGATTGCCAAACTACCTCCACAAATGCAACAGAATCTATTGACAGGCATTTCCGACAGGTAAATCTCGCTAGATTTAGATTTAATTGCAACTTTAATTGCAAACTGCAACTAAAAGCGCGTTAGTTGCGATTAAATTTAATTGCAACCTGCAATTAAATTTAATCGCAATTAATTTTAAACGCAATCAAATTTAATCGCAATTAATATTTTAATTGCAGGTTACAACTAAATTTAATCGCAATTGAAATGCCACAATTAAATATTTAATCAATTAATTGATTGATTAAAAATTTAATCGATTAATGCCCAACATTGCTATTATATTATTACGTATATAATTTTAATATATAAAATAGGTGTACACCCTCAGCCCCTTTCTCGGGGGTCGCTCCGAATACACCTGCGATTCGTTCGTCTTAGAATCTCGTCTCCTTCGTCTCAGCGTCACCCCGATCGACTCATCATTATTTAATCCCCCTTCCTTCACTCCCACCGTACGCTGCGCATCGTCCGCACATTGTGCATCCCGCGCGTGATTTAGAATCCCAATTTGCATGGACAAGCAACGGCGGTCTCCCGCCGGACTCGCGGCGCGTCTGAGACACGAAATAGCTGCGCGCCTGCCGATCATCGACGTCCCGTAGATTTACGGCGTGTCACGCCGTGAGGTCGTCGGCCAAATTGTTTCACATTGATTTTCAGGTCGGTCGGTAGGTCGACTGGCCGGCGAGAGACAGTGGTCGCCACGCGGCCGGGCGCTGCCCACACGCGATGTCTCCGCAGCAAAAGCATTGTGGTTTCCAGGCGCTTATTTATGCGCCGCCCGGCGTTTCCGCCCTTTCCGCTTGACGTTTAGGGCCGTTGACTCGGTGCGACTTGCTCGTCCCGGCGAAATCGCTCTGTCGTCGCTCTCCGCTCGATGCTCCGCCGGCTGTCACTTTCTCGGCCTCCGCCGAGGCTTCTATCGCGGGCAAATCTCCCCCCCCCCCTCCCCGGGCCCTCAGCCGCCCTTATCGTCGTCGCGAATCTCGCTAAAGACCAGACGCGGCTGGACAAGAACGCGGCAGATGTCGGCCTAGTCATGCATAGCGAGCGGGGATTTTCGCTGCGAATTCTGACCCAAGTTCCGCGAAGAGCGACTTCCGCGCTTGCGGAAAACGCGCGGTGCGCCGGGAAACGCGCGCGCTTGCTCAGCGGGCCGCTTGCTTTGAACGAGCCTGTACGCGGGGACGTTTGCCTCTGTCGCGCTATCAGCTCGCAAGAAGAATGTCCCATTCATACTTTTGTGCGCCGTTTATGGCGTTATGCACCATATCACAGTCTTATCAGCACTTCTACACCGCCTACAATTTCAACGCGCGCGCGTGTGTGCGCGCGCGCGGAGGTAGAATTATCGGCGCTGAAGAGGAGGAGACCGCGGTCGTAGAAAACGCTACCTGGCGATACAACAGTCGGAAACGTCGTCCTTGAGGACGATTCGATAGCGCGCTTTTGCGTGTCGCTCGCGAAGTTAGCGAGCGAACTGACGGATGCCGGTTGGAATAAAAATGCGGTTTCAAACGGAGATATTTTTCGTGGATTCAGTCGTAATGGAAGCGAATCCAGCTGATTCGACGGCAGTATCATTGGAAGCAACACTCGAATGGTTATGAGTCAACGAGATTTGCTCCGATCACGCCGCTGTCGGGCGTTGATTCTGTTGATTCGACGGCACCTCTTTTTCCCGAGTATTCACTGAAATCGAAAATAGGCAAATTAGACACGATCGTTCCTCCTTACGCTGGCGCTTCGTGCGCGACCGCAGAAGTAGACGAACGAAATGCGCGCGCGGATCCGCGAAGCGAAGACAAACGGTAACGGCTCTCTCCGCGAAATATCGACTCAACCATGTTCCGAGCGCCGCCAAAGGCGACGATATGGACACGCGCGCCGTTAATCCGCGAACATGCGCCGTTATTTCGCGAGGGGAATTTGTCAAGCTCTCGCTCGTTCGCTCGCGCTCTTTCCTTTCCTCTTCCTCTCTCTCTCTCTCTCTCTCTCTCTCTCTCTCTCTCTCTCTCTCTCTCTCTCGCTCCCTCTTTCTCCTTGCACAGGATCACGACAAGCGGCGTCGCTAATTGGATGCAAGATACGAAGCTACGTTTCACTAGGACGAATCCATTAATATCGCCTTCGACAGACGTGCTCGCGCAAACCCGGTGGTCCGACGAGGGAGGATTTCTCGCGTCGTCATTAATCACTGAAACAGGAACGGAGCTCGGGTCGCTTAGAAAGCGTCTGATTTCTCGCAAAGACATCGCCGCGTCGGCGAGGATCTGCCCCTCTCCCGCTTTTTCTCAACTCGCTCAGTAAATTAATCCCGCGGCGGAACGCAACAATTCCCGGCCAAAGCCGATATTCAGAGTAACGAAGGTACGCTATGTATGTGTGTGTGTGTGTGTGTGTGTGTGTGTGTTTGCGCGCGAATATCGGCGCAAACACATATTATGCGCGCATCAAAGTCTCTCGGTCGCCGGGCGATTCGCCGCAGGTGACATCGATGTCCTTTCGTCATTGAATGACAGGATATCAATTTCCACCGTTAGTGTCGAGCGAAGCTAATAACTTTGTGCATATTTTGATATCATTATTTTGTGGTTTAACACACACACACACACACACACACACAGTGTTATACATTTTCCGTCGTTTTATTTTTCTGATCATTTTTGCGCAAATTATTTTTTAATACCGTTTTTTAATACATGCGATTATTTTCTCGTACAGTGGTAAGAATATTAATTTATTACGAATTACTTTGAGGTGGCATATATCGATATATTATGTATAATACTATGTATAATACTATTGTGCGTGAAACTCCAAAGATTGCAAGGTCGTGGCATTCTTTTGCCGCTGCATTGTTCATTTCTTGCCACTTATGATATAATATAATATAATGTATCATCTGTAGGTAAATTTTCCTCGTGTGCGCAAAGTGAATCGTCATGCCATCTACTGTACAACGTGAATAATACATTGAACACTAAACACCAAGCAATTAGTTTTTCACAAATATTTCAACCATTAACAAATTTGCAACAATATAGGCATACATTCAAGCACCGTTATATTAAAAAAATAGGACAATGTGCGTGGAATGGAAGGGAAATACGAAAAGGAAAACGTTGCAATTGTCTTGATCACAAAGATACAAGAAAGTAACGTAAAGTTTCTTTATTCTAGTATACATCGCTCGTATATATATAAATAGAAGACATTATGATGTTTTCCTCTATCTCTCTTTCTCTCTCTCTCTCTCTCTCTCTCTCTCTCTCTCTCTCTCTCTCTCTCTCTCTCTCTCTCTCTCCCTCCCTCTCTCTCTCCCTCTCTCTCCCCCTCTCTCTCTCTCTCTATACATTATCTGACTAATCTTTCAGATAAAACATCTCGTACAAAAATTATATAACCTCTATAAAATGATATGAACAATCGCGGCCGTATAAAAAGTCGTAAACTGCCAGTTAACGTGACACTTATCATTCATGCGTCCGTTAAAGGAGATTCTAAGGTCCCACATAGCTTCTTCTAACTTACGGTAATTTGGACGGACGTGTTCTCCGAAAGGCCTCTCTCAGTCTTCTATCGGAATATAAAAACTTATCCTTTTAACGGTTAATTAGTTGTACATTATTGACACTTAAGTAAAAAGGCACTACGCGGCGTACAGCGTTAATGAGAGATTCGTAGCGATGCGCCGTGTTCAGCGCGGTCTAAAATTGCGACTCTTAACAAGCTTTACCGGAGGTGCGCATCTGACATTGAATGTAAATATATATAATATATATGTATATATATATATATATATACATACACACATATATATTTATATGTATATATATTCATATCATATGTCAAAAGCACGTACACGTTCGCAAAGATCTACATCTAGGGAAGATTGCGTAAAAGTACATGAATCGACGAGAAAGTCTGTTAGTAGTCAACTTATAAATATCCGTCAAAACTCTTTCAACTCGTAGGTACTAAAGCTCATCGGACTTGTCTCTCTCGTTATTTCCGCGACGGACACGCGCGCACTTTTCTCACGTCGATTTTTGCAAGTAAGCGCGCACACACAGAGATTCTCCCTTACTTTGGTTAGGTCAATTAATGTATTCTCCTATATATCGTCAACGCGTGCACGTGTCGCTGCTCGCGCACTTTCCCTCAAGGCCACAAGAGTTCTATGTTGGGCGACTGCAGCTTTGCGAATATTCTGTACATCGACAAGACGACCAGCCAACAGTATATCTGCGGAGAAAGAGGAGACATGACAGGTCAGAAATAGCGGAGATAACACACTGATAGAAAAATATAGTACAGTTGAATTAACTACAATCTCACTATATTTTATAGTTCACTTTGGCGTCAACCATATTTTTATATTTTATATATTGGTGGAACCTGCAAAATATAGTAGAATAAACACAAATATATAGTCAATGATTGTCTTAAATAATTTTAGTTTACTTTTACCACATATATGGTAATTTCTCATTCACAAATATAGTGAGATTTAATATTCATATTACAGTTACATCTGTCATCATTTAGCAAATATTCTGGTAATATTGACTATATAAAAGAGTTACTTTACCTACCATTTTATATTTGTTTCCATACAATAATTTTAGTTTAACTTACTATAATTCTTAGTAAAAATATTATATGCTTGGTTATACTATGCCTGTATCGTAATTATTACCGATATTATGGTAATACTTACTATAAATGTGATATTTCGGGCTATAATTTAATTACTATATCATTATAGTCCCAAATATCATATACTTTCCTCTCAGTGCATCGTGATGCTGCGTATTACGTATTCCGTCTGTGTACTTACATTGTACGACATCCAGAGCCAATTGCACAACGTCGCGAACACCGAGTCCAACTGAAAGCGAAACATCAGCCGGGGTCATACCGATTGCACTGATTGCGACGATAAGAAGATCACCGCCGAGAGGCGAGAGGACAAGGAAGGACTCACGTAGATGTAGTAGCCGCCCAAGAGCCACAGTCCAAACACAAGCTGGAAAACGCAAACGATGAACCACGAGATGAGCCAAGGTAACAACCAGCCGCGTACCCCTTCCTTCACGCCGTACACCATCAGCAGGGCGGATATGATCAGCAGCAGCAGGTAGAAGATGAAGAAGCCGCCGACAACTTGCATGGCTGAAAATCGCGAACGGTTTACAGCCACGCTTTCGCAAAGCGACGAAGATCCACGCGATAACCGAAAGCAGAGTAAACTGCGTTTATCTCGTCTCCCGAGACAACAAACGCGACGTTGCACGCTGATATCTTTTGCAAACGACCAGCGGAGAATGTTCGCATAAACAACGTTTTGGCATCATCAATTGACTGACATCTTCTCCGAGTAAAGTGACAAAAATGAAGTTAATCGTGATTACACACAAAGGTTCTTTCGAAATCGAACACTTTGATCTCCGATTGATTACACGCTGATTAATAGTCAATCTCATCAACTATGCCAGCCACGAGTTATGTAATGAGTCGATCAAATTACTTATAATTGCGCACACGAGGATTGACTCAATTAGCCGGTATTGTTCCAGTCAACAAAAAGGTCAATCTACATTGATGCCCAACATTGCGTCGTTTGTTTCGAAGGCAACGGAGCTAAACTAGCTCCGAAGATCCTGGCGAGAGAGCGAGAAGAGTCTGGTCATCCGCATCTCACTGAGAAAGAGAGAGAGAGAGAGAGAGAGAGAGAGAGAAGGAGAGACTCGCATCTCTCCTAAATTAGATGCCTGAATTGGATTAGTTGCTCTATAGTTGAGAAAATGACGAATTCGTGTATCGTGTACTTACAGCCTCTCACATCAGCCTCAAACAACGGATTGTATATTTGCGTGGAGTCGCCGCCGGCCATTTGGTAGCATATCAACGTAATCAACACTATACTGATCGCCTGGAAAGAAACGCAGCATCGATTATCCGTCGCTCCCTCGCAGCGAATACGTCGTGAATGTCGAAAGGCGCCTTTCTCCAAAAATACTCTCTCGAGAGCGATACTCACCACCGTGTAGAACGCTATAGCCTTGCAGCCAGTCTTGACGCTGTTCGACCAGACGCAGGGAGACCAGCAGGACTGCAGGATCGCCATTGTTCGCGCTAAAATCCAAATTCAAATTTGAGAGAGCGCAAAATGCGCGCGCGCGTGTACTCGTACGCAATCACCGAGCACGCGATGACGTTATCGAGCGGCGTCGCAAAAGCTGGGCGTCAACGCGTGTCAGAGTTACCAACGTAAACGCGCGACGACGCCGGGAGTCTCGGTGAGACGCGATACAGCAAAACCCGCAAACGTATTCATACCGCGAGAACGATCTTCCGCGTTCAAACGATCGCGTTAACGATCGCCAATGCCGCCACTTTCGCGGGCCATCCGTCTCGCGGAAACGCGGCGGGAGTTGGCGAAAAGTTGACAGCGCTGGCCGGCTCATGCTACACGAGGCGCGGCACGCGAGGCTCGTGGATCGGACGCGCATATCCCAGCAGCAGGTGTGTGCACGCAGGAGCAACGACGGATCGAACACGTGAGAGGACGCGAGAACGAGGCGCGTGTTCGCGCACGTCTCGGGCGAACGCGTCCCGTTGTTCTCGTTCCCAGCGCGATATTCGCGAAAGCTCGGATATCGGCGAAAGCGCGGAGCGTTCTCGCCACTGCCATGACACACGATGCGCGACGGCGCAAGCGAACGAGGCACGCCACCAGGCACGCGGACTTTGTTTTCAGAAGTGGCTTCTCCCCGCGGAGCCGTACTTACGATTTCTGTGGGAAGAATGCTTCTAGTCGGCACTTTCTCGTAGACGCGATTCACCGCCACGGTCGCCAAGATTCGAGTGCTCGAATCGCCTCGGGATCACACTGGAACTGGCGAGGAGTGCCATGCACGCGTCGGTGGACGTACGGTTAATGGCGTCGTGTCATCGCCGAGGATCCCCTCCACTCGGCCAGCAGGTCACGACACCGGCTGCTCCCTTTTTCCCGAAGCCTGCAACTGTGTCGACCTGCCGATAGCCCGAGCTGCAGCTGCCCAGGGGTTTGCAGTTTGGCAGTTTTAACGACATTCGTCGATTGTAAAACAATGCAAAAGTAGCGATAGCACTCGTAACCGCGATATTTGCCGCGACTCTGTGCCTGCCCGATGCGCGCTCGCACGGTCTGCGGTGAGGTGGGTCTGTCAGTCTGCCATCACTTGTGACGTCGTGGGAAGGTTACTCTTCGACCATTAAGTCCTGTTTCGTGCGCTGTTACGGCGCTGATATCGAAATTAATAGCGACGAAGTGGTGCCGGAGGCTCTCTGGTAAATAATTGGAGAGAAGATAGAGAGCCTTTTGGTGGACGTGAAGCGCAGGTAGAAGTCGGTGGAAGACGTAGGACCAGATGTGACGGTCCTGGTTCCAAAGATCTTCTCCGATAATTCGTACAATAGCGCATAAAAAGCACTGCAGCCAATTAGGGCTTACACAAAGGATCTTACCAATAAATGAGATATATTAATTAATAGTCCGAAAGGTTTTATCGCGGCTACCGAAGTTCCAAAGTTTCGTCAAACTCTTCAGACATTCTCGCCTCTCCTCCAAAACAATTTACAGCACCTGGTCAAGTCAAGCTTGCGATATAGGGAGGATGCGCGAGATTGATTAAATTAATTCAAGTGTGATCCACCTGGGGATCGGTTGAAACGAATAAAGAAGGGCGGAAGAAAGGTACAAACGAGGAAGAATAAAGCACCGTGTACCGTCAGAATTCGGGTCCACCGCGCGCAGTATCGAACTCACTCAACAAGATCTAAAGAACGCGAACAACGGAGCGAGTCGCAACAAACAAAGCCCCCGCGTACCGAGCATGAGGAAACCACGACACCAAGCGGGATGTAAGAGATACAAGTAGCAAAGACACAAGACGCAACGTCTTTTGCCAGGTAGAAACTATACACGACGCGATATACAGGGTGACGCAAACAGATAACGAGTGGTTTCCCATACGGAAGATTTTCGTCCGCAATCTGATCGCTGCGCCAATCGAATTTTCCACGTTGCCGGGTGGCGCGATGAAATTTTCTTATTATTATTCAGACTATTCCTTATATTAATTTATCGGTTTCCTCGTCGGCTCTCTGGCATCGACCGAATTATTACTGGTATCTTATTTCTTGAAAAACGCGTAAAATATTCTCGACCGGTTACCTACCTACGAAACATATTGCTTCACAAGAGGAACGCAGCGGCCACCTTGCGTGGGACACATGAAGAGTTATTTTTTCAAACGTCAATTTTAACAAGCAAGTGCGACGAACTCGATGTAACGAGTCCACCAAAGTCCGTGTGTGTGTGTGTGTGTGTGTGTGTGCATGGCGATTTACTATCTATTAATATACCGTGGTGCAAGGTCAAGCTGGCTAGGAATAGAAGCAGCCACGCTTAGATCTGCTATTAAGTCGCGCGTTTGAAGAGTGCAGAGCGGCGTTACTTTGTAATTTGCAGCGCGGCTTTGAGAAAAATCGCGAGGAGGGGCGGAAGAGCGGGGAGGAAGAGGCACCCCCGTACGATTGATGCGTCGCGCGGCAATTTCCACGAGGCGAACGGAATGTTTTCTTCTCCCGTGGATGAAAATAGGAACCGCGGCGGAGTCGACTGTATTCTTCATTATGCCTGAAAATAGACTAGGGAGAAAAGATCCGTGTGATCTTCGTCAACGCGATAGTCTGGAAATAAAGTCCGCCGTTACGGCTACGTACGCGCGCGCGCGCGTTACAGCGCCGCGCCGTCGGCGTCACATCGGTGATTAACCCGCGGGAAATGTAGTTCAACGGTTTCGGATTACCGCTCCGCGGTTTCCGCAGCGGCGGAGCGCCATTTTGGTACCGCAAAGGAAAACACCGTCCAGGTCCGGGTCCTGGACGGGATAAGACCAGCCGGCGATAATTCGCCTCGTGGTTCAGAAGGCGACTCTCCACTCGCTGCAGACTTCGAATCTCGAGGATCTCGAGGATCTCCCCATGTCGAGTTTGAAATTCGAGTCGGCAAAATTTCATCGGCAGAAGTCCTTCGGAGCTCCGACGGAAGAAGGAAAACACGGAGATCAAGTTTTTTCAAGATTGCACTCGAGCCGCAAGCCGAAATAATTTCGAATAGGTCCGAATTCGAGCGCCATGGGCTTTGCTCTAAAGTGGCCAAAACTGCGGAGAATTCATGTCGTCATAGCGTCAGATAGACTTTTACCCGGGCAAAAAATTGTTAGGGCCATCCTCGTGAAGCATAAGACCCCGATAAGGGACGAAACAATGCTTTAATATGGAAAACTGATGTGGGCCTTAAAAAGGATCTTTTAAAGATGCTTTAGATATACAAAATCCAATTGTGTTATAGAAAATTACTGAGATCTGAAGCGTAATAAAATTGTCATAGGTTAGTAGTGTTTTAGTAGATACTTAGTAGGCTCCCAGGTAGGCTTCGTCTGGTTCCTTTAAAGATTTCTTAATTATACCGCAATCAAAAACAAATTTTATTAGTTTTATCAGTTGCCACATTCATCACAGTCTCTTCCAAGAATTTTTCCAGTATTGCCTTCGTTTTCCAGTATTGCGTCCGTAATGCAGCAAACTTTAATAAAAACGGTAGCAGGATTTTTTTATATAAAGAATGTTATATTTTATTATAAAGTATGTTGTATTTTTAAAATAAAAAAATTCCTGTTATATACTAACAAGTTTATAAAGAAATAAAGAAATTACAGTCTATAAATGAATGTCTTGGAATATCTTGAAATGAAAAGAACGAATGTTTTTACTCAGGCAATAATAAGAATATTTCCTTATAAGGAAATATTACCCGTTACATTTGTTGCACACTTTGTCTTTCTATCCCTACTTATAGCCCGATTAATATTAGAGAAAAATAATCAGGCCCTATTAATTCTTCTACTCTGATACTTCCTCGCATTGATTTTCTTTTAACAAACGAGAAAAAAGCAACCGTCGGTACGCCACGTAGAATGCGCTTGATACGAGCGAAACGAGCCGGGAGTGACTCGAGAAGAAATGCTTGTTGTCGAGGAGTACCAGCGGAAGGGACAGTCCGAGCTGACTGACCGACTCGTTCGGAAGATTCCTTTTGTGATCCACGCGCGCTCACGCGACGGCCAGAATGGTTTGTTGATTGGCCGTCATTGTCGAGCGGCCGTGTGAGGAATCTCACAGGGCTCTATGAAATGATAAAACCCCATTCACCCCGAGGAGGACAGTGCCTACGCGCGTCTGTAAATCCTCACAGTCATCGGACGCGACAACGAACAGTGTAATGGAGCGACGCCGTAGACATCGACACGCGGGATTAACGTCGTCGGGATTAGAGATATTGCAAGTCGCGGGGCGTCTTCAGCGACGCGGAAGACGAACTGCGCTATGAAGAAACGGATTGTCGCATCGGGGAAATTAGCGCGGAGCGTTCCCAGGCGGCACTCCGGGAACGCGCGAGTCCGAACGGGATTGCGAGAGGAGGAGGAGGAGGAGGAGGAGGAGGGGGAGGAGCGACACGCGGGTGTTGCAAAGCATTAAGAACACAAGTTGCAGCGACGAGCAATTTCTCACCTGGATACCATCCGACTTGTTAGGTTTCGACATGAGCAGAGATCGAGGCGGTCTCTTCGGGAACGACCGGCTAGCGAACGGCCGAGACGGCGGTATTTTTTGCGCACGTGCTCCGCGAAGACACGAGGAGTAACTCGTTTCGCAGTTGACACACGGTACCGAGAAGCAAGCAAACTCGTTGCTGCAAGCGTATCTAATATCAAAGGCGTCTTCGAGGGATACCATGTCGGATCGGTGATCTCACGTGGCGGATGACGATGCTGGTGACGTCATACGGCGAGACGCGGTCCGACGACTCGCAGTGTGCGTCGCGCTGCATTGAATGAAACGACACTCGTCCGCAAGGGAGAAGGCAAGTGTTAAAAATGCTGTGAGATATCATTACGCGCGGTCTTAGGCGGAAAGGAGCGAGCCATTCGAGCGAACAGAGACCACCGGCACATTTTGCGCGCAAGAGCGAGCCGCGGAGGAAAGCACCTCGCAGCCACCACCTTGGAGAGAGAGAGAGAGAGAGAGAGAGAGAGAGAGAGAGTACTTTGTGCATTGGAAATTCAATTAGCAAAATAACACAATATCGCAAACGTAACGCAACGAGCGACCGCGCGTAGGCGCGCGCTTTCTCGAAGACGTGAATCATCCAGTCGCACGCGCCATACGGCCCCAAATGGCGTTCCACTTGGAACTTCCGGACTTCTCAGCGGACCATTGTCCTCCCGCGCAGAACCCCCTCGAACAAACTGTCCTTTATCGCCTCCCAGTCGCAACTGTGTATTTAACTCTCTTCAAGTTCCGAGAGCCGGTTCAGCGACAAAGGACAGACCTAAAGTTCGCCGTCCGCGCCATGCGCTCTCGTTCCTCATGGTCGAGCTAGCTGTGCACTTTCAGGACTCGGAGAGAAGCAGAGGCGATACACAGCGGCGGGACTCGCTGGAAGGAGCTTCGGCAAACGAAGCCGAAGTTTAGCCGCATTCGCACACCGACGCGCGCCTAAGTTCAAACTCTCCTCTCGGCAGCGCCGGGCTCTCTCCCGGAGGAGGAAGCGCCGCGTGCCGCGGTTTGCCGCTCGGCCGGCTAGTCTCTCTCTCTCTCTCTCTCTCTCTCTCTCTCTCTCTCTCTCTCGAAGCTAAAAATAAAGCGCCAAGTAAATGTCTACGCGCTCATAGACGTACGCGCGTCCCTCTGTCTGGCGCTCCTCCGTACGACCGCTCTCCCGGCGGCCTGGAGCTTCTTGGCCGCGCAGCACAGCCTCCAGCAGCGGAAGGCACTTCTCGATTTAGGAACGCGAGCGCGACGCTGTCAACGTTGCCGTACTGTCAAGAGAGACGCGCGAGACGGCACTCGATGGTCGCAGCTGTGAGGACAACAACACGCAGCCCGACTGGCAACGCTGCCGAGTCCTCGCTGCCGACAGTCGGCACGTGGCTCTTTTCATACTTCTCGGTCAAATTGAGCGGATCGAGTAATCAGTGAGCCGACAGCCGTCCCGCCGCGCCGCGCCGCGCCGCGCCGCGTCGCGCGATTTCGAGCACAACGCGCGTGACAGTGTCGCGTCCCGATTCGTTGTTTGCTGTCCGATCTTCCGCTACCCTCGCTACCACCCTTGGCCACCCCCTCGCGCTTGGCAAGTCGTGAAAAAAGCGCATTTCACGTAAGCATGTCGGCGAGAAGTGATGTGAGCTGAGAGAGAGAGAAAGAGAGAGAGAGAGAGAGAGAGAGAGAGAGAGAGAGAGAGAGCTTTGCTGCTTTGAGACGAGAGTACAAAGTAACAAAGCTTGAACGCTTAATTATGCGAGTGCAGCCATGGTGTGTCGCTTGGTTGGTCGGTTGAACTTGAAACGCACGCTGGCACCGTCGCTCACGAGAGGCACGCAGCTCACAACAGACTCCGAATGATTACCTTCGCGATAAACTTGTTATCGCTCGGCGCTTCGTCGTCGCGGCTGTTTAATCTCGCAGTCAGCTGGTCCCCGGCACGGGAAAACGTCTCGGCGACGGACGTTATCTGACGGCGGGAATGCGCGATTTTCTTCGGCTACCGAGCACCGAGTATTTCGGCGCGGCAGTAGACGCTCGAGTGAGCTTGGTGTGCTCGGAGCACTCGAGTCGCGCTCCGTTTGAAGCAAGTGAGTAGCAAAGCGCAAAAGAGAGGCCGGGACACGCATAGCACGTTCGCGATAACTCCGCCGTAATTCAACAATAAAGCACGCCGAACAATCGTGACTTGATCCCGGCAGGTTCGCAAACGTGCGGCAGAAATGCGAGCGCGATAATGCGAGAGTATGCACAGGACGTGTGCAGGACAAAACGGGGCGAGGATGAAGTTTCTGCTGGCTTTCGAGTATTCGCGGACACGAACTCTCTCGGTTATCGTGAATTATCTGCACGTGGAAACTCGAGTCTTCGCACGTTTAGCCGACGACACTGCGACGCCGAATAGATATGCGCTCCGAGTCGAAGAGTGATAACAGGATAAGGCTCGTATCTGGAGATTACAGCTTTGTTCGCGGGACTTGCATGTAAGCGCTAAAAGGGATTCCTTTGGTCTTCCTCCTTCTCTCAGAGAGAGAGGTGCTCTCGTACTCGGGAAATATCAAAAATATCTCGAGCGGTCAACTATTAATAATATTTTTTATATTAAACTCCAATTGCTGCCAATTGACTACGAATTATAATTTTCCGTTGAGTTTCCGCGTCGAGTCAAGCGTCTCTGAAATTTCTTCCTCTGTCGAAATATTGTTGATGAGGAGAGGATTTTCAAACTCGGGAATAATCTCCATATCGACATCTGTGTGAAGCTCTGTTCCACAAAAATTGAGGGGGGAATTACATGTGGAAGGCCGTTTTCAAGACTATTTTTACAAATTTTTTGGACAGAAACGGCAGGATCAATAAACTTGAAATTTTCACAGTGTATTCATTAATGTTCAAAGTATAAAATAAATTTTATTGAGTCGCAAGAACCGCTCCAATTTGTTATTATAGATAAAAATGCAGTCATCCATTTGCGAGCTCTATGTTTGCTGTCGATATAATTCCGGACCTCTCACTAGTCTGAAACCAAAAAGTGGGAAAGATTTTTAAAATATACGGTTGCCATTATACCAAAATGAAGGCAGTGAAGTCAAGTTTGAAAAAATAATGACTGTACAAAAAGAAGTATCGAAAATGAAACTTTTCTCAACTTGTAATCATGTATAAAAAAAATGAATAAAACAAAATATAACTGCGTTCGAAGTAGGAGTAGAAAACTACGTGTCTACTGTATATCGTGTAAAAGTTTCAAGTTATTCGGTTCAGTAGTTTTTGCGTAATCATGTCGATAGTTTAAGAAAATGGTATTTCCAGATAAACGCGTTTAAAAGTTTTATGTGTACTTCCTATATAGATAGTAAGAAATTTATCTTATACTTTGAACATTCATGAATACACTGTGAAAATTTCGAATCCATTGATCCTACCGTTTCTGTTAAAAAAGAAATGCTCAGAAAATAGCCTTGAAAACGGTCTGCTCCGCATATATAATTCCCCCTTCGACCGATTGTAATTAACAGTGGAAGGAAACAGAAGTTGATCTCAGAGGATGCTGAAACGCATCGCATACTTCGCATCATCAGTCACCATATTCCAAGATCGCGTGAAAGACATTTTACGTCGAAAAGCAACAGCGACGACGGGACTAATATCTTAATATATTCCGTGAAATATTTAGCCGGAGTAGCGCGAACGACCACGCGATGCACTACGCCGTTTGAATCCGAGACTTCTCCCGCCCAAGCGAAATAAGAACCTTGACTAAGGAACCTACGTAGACGCGTACACTCCCGATGGATTTCTCAGTAACGCCAAGGAAAAGAAATTCTCCGCGAGATTAAGCACATTCATATCTCGAAGAATAAAAATATTCAAACAAAAATAACATTACCCGGAGCGTAAAAGCGGTGGAGCCTAAAAGAAGAAACTTTCTTAACTTTCTGAAAAGATACACCCCCCCCCCGTACTCACCGGTGGCATACTCGCGACTTGGCGCAACGGACCGAGACCAGAGCTCTTCTTCTCGCTTCATCCACCCCACGCGAGAAGAGAAAACCATTTCCTTCCCGTTCGAGCAAGGAAAACTGATATTGCCGTCGGAGCCGGGCGCGCGCGTCGTCGACGAGGAAACTCTCGAGGGAAACGCGGGATCGCGCGCATGCCAACGCGACGGTCGGCGGTGGAAGAAGCACCTTTCGCCGGGCAGGAGTTAGCGCGAACAGGGTATATCGGGGCCCCTCCGGTCAGATTAAGTCCCGTGTCGGGCCGCTCTCGCTCGCGCTGTCGTTCGTTCGCGCCGTTCGTTCGCGCCGGTTCGTGCTGTCGGGTCCGCCTCGCCTGGTGCATGCGCTTGCGCGCGCGCGCGCGCGTCATGGTCTCTCGCGTCGAGTCGGGCCCCAGCTTCGTGGTACCCAGCTGGATCCGGACGGCCATTCGTCGGGCCCATCGTTAGGTCGCGCTTGCCGAGTGGAGCGCGCACGAAGAGCCGCCGAAGGAGCGTGTCGTGGCGCGGCGCCGTCATCGTGCAACACGACGACAAGCGCCGTGCCGTGCTGAGCCGAGCCGAGCCGAGCCGAGACGAGACGAGACTCGAGAACTCGCGGGACTCTCTTCGTGCTCTCTCTCTTTCTCTCTCTCTCTCTCTCTCTCTCTCTCTCTCTCTCTCTCTCTCTCTGATGTAACCCCCTCCCCCTGCACCCGCGAGAAACCGCATCGCGGCCGTCGTGTATCGCCGCGATTACGCGCGCACACACACACACACACACACACACACACACACACACACACACACATACACACACACACACACACACACACGCACGCACGCACGCACGCACGCACACACACACGCACACACACACACACACACACACACACACTCGAGCGTCGTGCCGCCGCCGTGCGGTCCCAACGTTCGCGCGATCGCCCGTAGATCGCCCGCGATCGCCTGCGATGCGTCCTCGCGCGCGCGCGCCGCCGCGAGCCTGCCGCCGGGACCGAGCCGCGCCGTGCTGATCGAGGCCGAGGCCCCCGAGGATTTCGAGAGTAGGTCTTTTGTGCGCGACGGTGCCTCTCTCGCGTGGCACCGGCTGAAGGACGCGAGACCGCTGAGCGAGCCTTCTCTGGACTCTCGACTCGCCGGACTCGCCGGAGGAGGCCTTCTGGATCTCGGGTCTTGTCGGCTGACCGGCCACGAGCTCTAGGGGATCGCACGCACGCGGCTGTGCACTCGGGACTTTCCCAGACCAAGCGGGATAATCAAGGACCTCATTCCCCGGCCCGTGGCCTTCGGCCACGCGTCGACTTGTCGCCCGTCGCTGAGGCTCACGGGGTCGTGTCAAGCCTCGCGGAGATGGATGCATCGACGCTCGGGAGGACCTCAACCTGTCGATGACTGTTTATATCCTTGTTTAGTGATTTACTCGTGCGGCTATTCCCGCGGCGGAAGGACGCGAGGGCGTGTGAGAACGCGCGCGGTGTTCGGGACTCGTCGAGGGAATTTTTAGCCGAGTGGGAAAGTGCGGAGTCGGCGGTCGCCGTCGCGGGGACGAGGACCGATCGCCGCGATACCACGCGCGTCGTCGTCGTCGTCGTCGTCGTCGTCGTCGTCATCGTCGGCGTATAGATCATAATTCACTCCGGAGCGTCGCGCTTCTCTCTTCCTCGCTCGCTCGCTCGCTCGCTCTCTCCGATCCCCTCTCTCCGTCCCTCCACGAGTCGGAGGCACGCGCATAGGGTCGTGGCGAATCGAGTCTCGGACACAATTCAGATCGGCCGAGCCATTTAACGCGGATTTAACGATCCATCGGCCGATCCGCGCGAGCGTGAAGCACAAACGCCGTGCAGCGTTCGTCGTAGCGGGCCGTAACTCACGGCTGCTCAGGTGCGATCAGGTGACAGAGGAGCCGGAAAGAAACGCTCCCGAGCGGCGGCCCCTCGCTAGAGGAAGTGAGATATCTGGATTTGTAGAACGGCTGGCGCGTTGCCGATGTGTGCCACGGATATACGTAGTGCCAGTGCGCGCGCGCTCCAGCAACGAGATCGGCACGGCGATTCGGCTGCGTCTCCCGCCGCTCGCGGACGCTGAGATCGGCATCGAAATCGCCGAATCGGCCGCGCACGCGTGCAGCGGACGGTGCACCCGTCGGCGAAAACAACTGCTGAGGGTCCGGGTGTCCTCCAGGTGCTTCAGCACGCGCTGCCCGCCAACGGATTTCGGACCATGGATCTGCGCGCTGTCGGCCAGCGAGCGTACTTTCTCAGGTGGAATCGCGCGGCGGGCATCGGCGAAAGTATTTTCGATCGTTTGCAGAAGTAAGTCTCGTCCCTCCCTCCTTTTATACTGCGCGACGCGCGAGAACGACCTCGCGGCTGTTGTCGAGCGAGACGCGGAATTAGCGACTTGCGGACGAGCGAGAGTCTCTTTTGGGCGGGAAGAAGCGGGTAACAGGCGGGTAACCTCCTCGACCGGTGATCCCGAGGTCTGTGTGAGACCTCGGGATATCACACGGAGAAGAGGGTTCGCTCTCATTAACGCGACAATGCGCGGAGCGCATGACACAACTCTCGGTTGAGGGAAACGAAATCTCAGACTCGGCTGGAAGAATCGAAAATTCTATTACGTCGGATGAAAACGCCGTTGCTTCGCTCTCATCATCGCGTTCGTTCAACCGAACTTTCTTCTCCGCGCGCGATCTCGCGATTATTAAGCGTAAAAGCGCGCAAATTCTGGCCACCTCGGGCTCCGCGGCAAAAAATGGGCTGGTTCTCGCGCGGCGGAATACTTTGCACTTGCGGCGCGACGTTCGCCAGCGCGTCCTTGATTTTCGCTCGCGATTAGTATCGCCGTTATTGAAGGAGGAAAAAGTATCGGGCGTCGTTCCGGTTGGCCGTTTCGGTTCAATGGCCCGCGCTTGAAATGGCTTGTACTTGCGCGGCAGCACGCGTTGGTTCGCGCGCGACCGAGCGAGCGCACAATACCGATTCTTTGAGCGTTGCGACGGTGCGGAGGAGCGCGGCTTCCGGGATTGCTTGGGATTACCGGTGAACTTTCACCGATCGGCAAAAAAGCCGAATGTTTTCCCCTCGAACAACGCGCGCCGCGGGACGAACGAGCGAGCGTTATATACATAAATGCCGGCGAGACGCTCGCCATTGTGCTTTGTAGCCGCGATCTGCGATTTTCGCTCGTTTTCTCTTATCTTTCTCTCTCTCTCTCTCTCTCTCTCTCCCTTACTTCAAACTGTCATGTATGAGTTCCTCTTTGGGAACCAAATGTGAGCCTGCCTCACACATACGAACCTCAACTGACGCTGCCGACTTCTTTCCCGACTGCCTTACAACATTGATGGAAAAATATAGTTGAATTAACAATAATCTCACTATATTTTATAGTTGATTTTGGCCTCAACCATATTTTTATAGTTGGTGGAACCTGCAAAATATAATAGAATAAACACAAATATATAGCCAATGATTGTCTTAAACAATTGTTTAGTTACTTTTACCACATATATGATAATTTCTCATTCACAAATATAATGAGATTTAATATTCATATAGTTACATCTGTCATCATTTAGCAAATATTCTGGTAATATAAATATTGACTATATAAAAGAGTCACTTTATCTACCATTTTATATTTGTATCCAATACAATAATTTTACTTTAACTTGCTATAATTCTTAGTAAAAATATTATATGGTTGGTTATACTATGCCTATATCTGAATTATTACCGATATTATGGTAATACTCACTATAAATATGATATTTCGGAATATAATTTAGTTATTATATCATTATAGTTCCAAATATCATATACTTTTCTCTCAGTACATGAAAGCTTTCGACCTTAACTTGGATTCTTTTCAACGAAATATTTCATATATATTTCTTTTTTTTTATATTAATTTCTTCATTTTGTATATCAGTGTTAATTATCTACTTTCTTGTAAACTATATTTTTAATTTTCTTTTATTTTGTAATTTCTGCCTTCGCGCTTGAGGGGACTTTGTCCCAGAGCGCTCAATAAATGACGCTTCTCTCTCTCTCTCTCTCTCTCTCTCTCTCTCTCTCTCTTTCTCGTCTTTCTCTGAATCGTCACAGGAAGAGAGACAAGGAAGAGGTTCACCACGCTGTGATCCAATTGTCGTACTGCGCTCCGCGAAAATGGTCACTTTCCTATTCGCCAGCTGTCATTGTTATTTTCGTATCATTTTGACGGACTAGTATGTGGGTCGTGTCAAATTGGTCTAAATTAGCGCCCGCCATGCTCGCGTCAAATTTGTTTTCTCAGAGTAAGCTCTCGCGAAGTATATAGTGCCGCCGCGTCGAGTGTGAAGTACGAACAGTCTCCGGGCGCGCGCGGGAGGACAAATAAGAAGGAATTCCAGGCGGTTTTAGCTGTGCGCGAGCTGGTTAGTTCGCAGTTGATTATACAAATGTGGCTCTCAAGCCTTATTTTTCTCACTGAGCTTATTGTATCTGCGATTACGTAAGCGTCTGAGGAATTTCGCTCGACAAGCGCGGCAATCAGGTTCATCACCTGATACCCCGCACCTGTATTAAAACAGCTGCGAAATGCGCGACTCAGATTTTCCCCGTTGCAGTTTTCTCCGCGCGCGTCTATCTCCAGAGAGACACAGAGAGAGAGAGAGAGAGGGAGGGAGGGGGGAGAAGGGGGGACGAATCTATATCTATCACTTTCTATCCTAACAATTCTCCTGGCGTGAGGAAGGGTGAGGAAGAGGAGGAGAGGAGAGCTATAATAATTAATTGAGCGGGACATGGAATTCGATATGACGTGGTGAATCTTCAACGACAACAATGAGACGACAAGAATCTCAAGGCTCGCCGACGTAAAATCCGCCGACGTGGAGAAGCGGCTCGAGGCGCCCGTGGAAAATACACCATATGTAATTACTTTATATCGAAAGCTGTAATCGCTTAGCCGCAAACATTAGATTAGATCTCTCGCGGCAATCTCCAGCAGCCGAGAAATGCACGCAGCGGGACGATGCGACCGAAGAGTAAAGGTCCTCGGTTTCGCTCGGTGCGGCTGATTAACACGCGTCTCTCCCTCTCTTTCTCTCTCTCTCTCTCTCTCTCTCTCTCTCTCTCTCTCTCTCTCTCTCTCTCTCCTTCTCTCTCTCTCTCTCTCTCTCTCTCTGTCTCCCTGCTTGTTTCTTTCCCTTCGTCTCCGAGATCTTATTGCCGATGAGGCTGTTAATTCCTTTTGCGGCGCGCCCTGCGAATTCCAACGGGCGGCCGAGGAAAATCAATGGCATCCGGTGCGTTTCGTCCGCGGACACGAAGAGGGATGTTCCTGGTCGCGGCCACTGGCTCTCCAAAGGCACGACGTATAAATACCACCTCATGCGAGCCCTCTCCTCTTCCCCCCGCCGTTTCTTCTCGTCTCCTCTCCTGCTCCTTCCCTCCTTGGCCTGCGGAGAGTCTATTTAGATAATCTTCCGCTTGGCGGGAGCGGCACTCGGTACGGCAAGGGAGCCTCTTCTTCGCGGTGGCTTTCACCAAGGTGGCATCGTTGTGTTCCTCGTTTGTGCATCAGCGATCTTCTCCCTTTCCCCTCCGCCTTTACCTCGTCCTCCTACACCTCCTGCTCCTCTCTCGTGGCCGCCATGTAGTCGCCGGTGAAACTTTTTGGCATCCGCCACGCCCGTGCGCGAACGCCCGCCTCGTAACTCGCGAGTGAGAACGGCCTTGGAGGGAATACCCCGTGGAAAAGCCCCGGATGACAAGAGCGTCTCGAAAGTGCGTCCGAAGAGGGCTCCTCCAAGTGGGAACCCTCCCGGTGGAGTCTGAACGAGAGTCTCGAGGAGTCGGGAAGAAACTCGAGCGGCGTCCTCGGGGAAAGCTCGCTCGCCGGAGATTTCGACAAGTTCTCATGAGCAATTTCTCCGCGACGTCCCAAGGTGGGGGGGGGGGACGCCGACGACATGCAGCTTTGATCCAACCGTGGAGTCTAAGCGGCAATCGTGGGACGCGAGTTCGAGGCGAGATGTCGCCGTGAAGAGGATCTAAATGTGCGGCAGAATGTCCGCCGCGAGCAAGTTCGCCGAATAGCGCGAAGCCGAGGAACCGGAGTTTGCAAGTCGATCCCGCCGCGGTAGCGGAAGTTGTCGCGAGTCGGACAACGTGGTGAACAGTGTGCCGGCGCGTGTGGGTGAGAGGTGATTAGACTCTCGAGCGGAAAATGCCGCCCGCGGTCGATAGTGTCGCCGATGGACGATGACGAGATTCGCTGAAACCGGGTGTCGCAGTCTTTGACTCCGTTGGTCCTTTGACCACGTTGCTTTGGCTCTCGAGGTCGCTCGAAGGATACTCGGATACCGCGGCGAGATCAACGGAACGGAGCGGCTGTCGCTTCTGGTGAGCCACGATTCGCCGCGTCAGCCGCGACCTTGAGATGCCTTCGCGATGGAGCAGCCAGATCGATGTGATTGTGTCAGTCGCCACCAAAGGACTCGCCGATAAGCATCGAGCGGAAAACTCGGTCGCGGGAACACGAAGATTCCTCTAGGAGGTTTCTGGTCAGTCGGTTGTTTCTCGAAGCTCGAGCGAGTTCTAATCGTAGACTTTTATGCATAGACTGCGTCTTCTTGCGAGAAGACGAGAGATGCGAAGGGCAGCTACCTTACCCTCTCGCTGTCCGCAGGTACGCCAGCTTCGTCAGACTTTCTCCTTGACGAAAATCGAATGTCTTTGGCACACACAAGCTGTCCCTTTCAAGATGAAGTCTCTGCGGTATCTCTTGGAGCGCTCAGTCCGTGTGTACAAGTCTATGAAAAATGTTTGGTCGAATGACGCGATTTTCCGCCGAAGTATCGGCGACGCGGAAAGTTCCAGAGTCGCGAAGTTACCAGAGTCGAGATCATCGAGACTTCTACTTAACTCTCGAACAGAGTTCTGGTATCTTCAATTGGGATTCATATTTCAGCAGAAAATTCGCGTTCATCCAACTGGACGTTTTTATCCTCCGCGCGGCAGCCACGTTCGATCGCAACGAGCGAGCACGCAATTTACCGAAAGCCGACGAGCCGATGATCGATCGTGGCCAGCGGCCACGCTTGGGATACTTTCTTTCGTCTTGTCTGCGAGATCCATCGCAGCAAAAGGCTCGGGAGGATAATCGTAGGCAAGCTAACCGCGTCCTTTTCGTCCCGTGAGAAAATCGCCGTTGCACGCGTCGTTGCACGCGTCTCCGGCACGGGCGTAATTCCGAGGGAAAGGAGCGGACACGCGCGAGCGTTTCGCGCGGAATTGTTGAAGAAACACTCGACCAATTGGCA